GAGAAGGATAAAAGTGGGCTTGCAGTGGAGATCAGGTGGAAGGGTTGATGGACCAAGCGGTAGCGATTTGGTAGCATGGGATGAAGGGTTTCAGACGGTGGTAAAGAAGATAACCGGCGGTGGTGGTGCCGGAGGCCGCCGCAGGTGTTGGTGGCTGAATTTTTGCTGTAGGGGTAGGTTGGGGATGGGTAGGGTGAAGAAGAAACCATTTTTTTATTGGGAAAATTGCAGCAACGATGGGGTAGGGTGGGGTGAGGTGGGGGGGAAGAAGAAGATGAATGGTAGTTTCTTTTATTTTTATTTGGTATATTAGTTTATTTGTTTTATTATAGAATTAAATAGCAAATTTACCTCTACCCTTTTAAGTTGGTCAAAAATTGATCAAAATTCAATTTTATTGATCAATTAACGATCAAACAGACGGTTTCCATCCATTTGGACCCCCAGTGCATATTTTTAAAAGGTTTGGAATTGTGGATGGCACAAACTAAAAGTTTAAGCAAAGTCTGCTAATAAACGAAAGGTTTGGTACCTCGGCTGCAAATTTCCCCTTTATTTATGTTTTGTATTCTCCTTTCCAGCTATCCCCTTCATCTCCTAGGTTGCTACTGAGGGATTTGCCCTATAGATATCCCACAACAATACCTAGTGTCGATGTGTCTTGCCAACATGTGCACCAGGACTAAGTGTCATGTAATATAGACAAATGCAACAACATGACCATTTTGTTATATGACATGGAGAAAATAAAGACCGAAAGGAATTTGCAGAAGAATCAGCAACAAATAATTTTGCATTAGAAATCAAGGAAACAAAAATAAATCATACCTGGAGAAGTGCAAGTGCATTGCAAGCTCTGTTTGATTGTGCTGACGTTAGAGTAGGTGGTGATAAAAAGGGGTAGACACCTATTACTTCCTGCAGGAGAAGAGTAAGGACCATACAGCAATTCCGGCAATAAAGTGATGTCATAAAAGATGGGAAAGAAGCATGCTTGTCACAATAAAAAACTAGACAAGTTAGAAGAATGTAACTCCTGATGATAAAAATTAGTTGACACTGGATAAAGAATCTCATACAGCAACAATATTAAAACTAGAGCAAAGCTTAGGCAATTAGGCATGTGAGCATAAAACAACCTCCAAATATTTTTATAAGATTACAAGCTATAGATTACTATAATTATGTGGTAAGACTTTCTATGGCTCCACAAATTGCACAAACTTCATAACATATATGAGAAGATTTTTCAAAGCCCCTCTTTCCTCCTCCTCGATTAGATTTAATAAGGCAGATATTCATAAGTTTTTTACTGGGATAAGGAGTCGCAGAAAAGCAACAAATTATAAAACTATTAGTACTGACAACCTGTTAGATGCATTGGGCGTTTTATATCTTCTTTACCGTGATGCAACTCAATCTTGGTTAACAATATATATGTTCAGAACAGTAGACTAGAATTGGGAAATGAGTGACAAACTGAAATAATTTATAGAGTACGGTCCTTGTAGAATCATGCATTAACAAAATAATAGTTGAAACCCCCTACAACAAGAGAAATAGTGAAGAGAATATAAAAATTATAGAAAAAGTTCGAGATTTATACCTGCAGTAGTATAGCCATTGTACCAGGGGAATGCCACAGTATTAGACCAAAATCTATAAATGTTTCTCTCCTCTATTGACAGAGAAAGAGTTTATTAGGCATCCATAACGCAATTGATTAAAAATTAGTCAGCCTTGGAATAAAGATGAATTCTTAAATTAAAAACACAAATAAAGACGGAACAAATGCTAAACATGACAGGTTTATGATTACTAAAAGGAAGAGGAATGAGTAATCTCACAGAAAAGTTGGTGATCATGCACATGATGGCAAGTACACCTCTAAACGATTCAAACATCAATTCTAATTTACCATGAAATGAAGCAACAAATATGACATAGGTGATAGGACTCAATGAACAAGGAACGAGATTGAGAAAGAAAGAGAAAGTGAAGAGAAGAGANGAAGAGAAGAGAGAGGGGAAAGAGTAGAAAAGGGAGAAGCAATTGGGAGAAACTATTAATTTATTTCATAATCAAAGTCTAAATATTACAATGCATAAACCACATTTATATATAGGGAACATCAAAGAAAATCCTAGTAAATCTAATAAATATTTATATTCTATGTAGAAAACATAAATAAAATCAAAGAAAATCTAGTAAGTAAACGCTAATAACTTTTACTAAAATAAGAATCTAAACATGGAAAGTAGTCATATAAATCTAATAGGATTTCCATCAAAAATACCTTAGATTCAGATCAGAGACCAAATTAAAGACCTATAGTCCACTAGTAATACCATGTCAAGCTTCTTGCAGATAAATAATATTTCAGTTGCTCCCAATGAAATTAGTCCCTCATTTGGCCCCCATTATTTGACATTATAATTTTTGCAATAATTTATTTTTGAAGAATATGTGGTTAAAAAAGAAAAAAATCGGTTTACGTGTTATTGTATTAGGGAATGTGTGGTTGACAAGAAGAGAGAGAAAAGTGGATTATAATTTTAACGGGGGCTTAACGACCTCTAGTTTGAAGAAGGTCAAAGTTTCCAAGTTCTGAAAGAACACCTGCCATCGAGAGGTGCTCATAAACACAAATATACTGCTATATAGAACATGTCATGCAGGAATGTTGACGGACACAGCTATTTCATAAAAAGGGTTTAGCAATTCAGACTTTTGCCTTCTCATAGATGAGCTGTATGGCAATAATATAAAATTGTTTGGACATCTTCTTTCCAAATATCAATAATTTGATCTCATCCCACCAAAGTTAATTATATAAACTGCAACTGGAAATATAGTTTTTTACTTGGATGCACTTGATGTTGCTTCTTGTATGATTATACACACTGAGCATAACTAGATCCCAGGTTATGTAGGTTGGTAATTGACAATTGTGTGTAGTAATAGTAAGAATACTTGGCATACCTAGAAAATTCAAGATAAAAATTGAGTAAGAGCCCAAGCTTAATGCAATGTACTAGACAGCCTAAAATTATTTCTGAACGTTTTACCACCGTGACCAAAACCACATCATCATTCCATCACATTTCTCACTTAACCACCCTCTCATTTAGCCAGTTATTGAGTTTATCTACCTTACCTCCTGTTCTGGGACAAAATTTAGAAGTCTCGAATCAATTAACCAATATCATCACTCTCTTTCCAACCATCTTTCATTTGTGAACTTCATGTCCATATGTAATATTCAGTAAACCTCTACGACTTTTAGTGAAATTTCATATTACAAGGAAACTTCCTTACGGCACATTTTTTCCTTTTCATTTTTACTTACTTCCATGGGAAGGAAAATGACAATCCTACAGCAAGAAACGGTGGAAAAAAATAGTTAGGTCCCTTAGACAATAAACAACCACCCTGCAAGTAATTAAAATTCCTACTTATAAGAAAGTGACCAAAAAAAATATATATCTTAAACATTAGCAGCATCAACACATTTGCAAGTCAATCGCAAACGATTAAATTCGAAAACATAGGAAAAATCCCTTCACTCAATATTAAAAACAAGAAACTGGAAACAACCATACATCAAAAATAAATAGGAAAATAACATTAAAAGTGG